CGTACTACTTTCGTACTAAAAAGTCGCGATTTTCGAGCCCCAGCTGCGAAAGTGGACTTTGCGTACTACTTTCGTACTTAAAAGTTGCGATTTTCAAACCCCGGCTGCGAAAGTGGACTTTGTGCACTACTTTCGTACTTAAAAGTTGCGATTTTCAAGCCCCAGCTGCGAAAGTTGACTTCGCGTACTACTTTCGTACTTAAAAGTTGCGATTTATCTATAGATCTACCTATCTATCTACCTCTCTATCTCCTATCTATCTATCTACCTCTCTATTTATTTATCTCTCTATCTCTTTATCTATCTAGCTAGTTATTTGTCTATCTATCTACAAATCTATCTATCTCTGTCTATCTCTGTTTCTCTATCTCTTTCTATCTATTTCTCTAGCTATCTCTATATCTGTTTATTGATCTATCTATCTACCCATCTTTCTCTGCACTTAAAAGTTGCGATGTTCAATCCCCGAAAGTTGACTTCGCGTACTACTTTCGTACTTAAAAGTTGCGATTTTCGAGCCCCAGCTGCGAAACTGGACTTCACGTACTACTTTCGTAGTTAAAAGTTGCGATTTTCGAGCCCCAGCTACGAAAGTGGACTTCGCGTACTACTTTCGTACTAAAAAGTCGCGATTTTCGAGCCCCAGCTGCGAAAGTGGACTTTGCGTACTACTTTCGTACTTAAAAGTTGCGATTTTCAAGCCCCGGCTGCGAAAGTGGACTTTGCGCACTACTTTCGTACTTAAAAGTTGCGATTTTCAAGCCCCAGCTGCGAAAGTTGACTTCGCGTACTACTTTCGTACTTAAAAGTTGCGATTTTCGAGCCCCGGCTGCGAAAGTTGACCTTGCAAAAATGCTGCGCCTGCCACCAAATCTGTGCTTGACCTTGCTAAAGTGCTGCGCCTGCCACAAAATCTGTACTTGACCTTGCGAAAGTGCTGCGCGTGCCACGAATTTTGCACTTGACCTTGCGAAAGTGCTGCACCTGCCACAAATTCTGTACTTGACCTTGCGAAAGTGATGCGCCTGCCACGAATTTTGTACTTGACCTTGCGAAAGTGCTGCGCCTGCCACGAAATCGATAAAGTGCTGCGCCTGCCACGAAATTGACCTTGCGAAAGTGCTGCACCTGCCACGCAATTCAAACCTAGCGAAACCTTCGCGCGGCCGTGCCAATGGTCCCGTCTCCGAGACCGTTCCGAGACCGTTCCGAGACCGTTCCGGGACCGTTCCGAGACCGCCTCCGTACAGGCGTCGCGACCGAGGTGGTTTGCGCACTGTCCGGAAGCCCAATTCACGCATGGCACCAACGTTTCTGCAACTTGCTATCCCCCAGCTCGCAGAAAGTGGACGCAGCACCTTGCGAAAGTGCTGCGCCTGCCACGAAATCTGTACTCGACCTCGCGAAAGTGCTGCGCCTGCCACGAAATCTATACTTGACCTTGCGAAAGTGCTGCACCTGCCACGCAATTCAAACCTAGCGAAACCTTCGCGCGGCCGTGCCAATGGTCCCGTCTCCGAGACCGTTCCGAGACCGTTCCGAGACCGTTCCGGGACCGTTCCGAGACCGCCTCCGTACAGGCGTCGCGACCGAGGTGGTTTGCGCACTGTCCGGAAGCCCAATTCACGCATGGCACCAACGTTTCTGCAACTTGCTATCCCCCAGCTCGCAGAAAGTGGACGCAGCACCTTGCGAAAGTGCTGCGCCTGCCACGAAATCTGTACTCGACCTCGCGAAAGTGCTGCGCCTGCCACGAAATCTATACTTGACCTTGCGAAAGTGCTGCACCTGCCACGCAATTCAAACCTAGCGAAACCTTCGCGCGCATCCGTTCCGAGACCGTTCCGAGACCGTTCCGAGACCGCCTCCGTACAGGCGTCGCGACCGAGGTGGTTTGCGCACTGTCCGGAAGCCCAATTCACGCATGGCACCAACGTTTCTGCAACTTGCTATCCCCCAGCTCTCCTGATTTCAGCTTTTCTCGTAGCTTTTTTCGCGCACATCCATGTATCTTAAAGCTATCTATCTGTCAAGCTGGTTATATGTCAAAGCTATCTATCTGTCATGCTAGTCTTTGGAAAGCTATCTATGTGTTAAGCTGGCTATATGTCAAAGCTATCTATCTGTCATGCTGGCCTATTGGAAAGCTTTCTATCTGTCAAGCTAGCTATATGTCAAAGCTATCTATTTGTCATGCTAGCTACCTGTCATAGCTATATGTCAAAGCAGCTAGCTCATTTAGTTCCAGTACTACGGAAGTTTCTTGTTAAACTTCCTTTGACTATACGTTTCGCTTGGCCCATGATTGCCAGCATCCCACTCTTGTGTCCACCACCGTCACATGAGTAAAGGCAACTTTGCATGATGCTACCAACTGTGTGTGTGTGAAAACGGGGTCTCCTTTGAGGGCGGCCTTTCCAGTAAAACAGCATGATGCACCTGCAATTTGAAAGGGGTCAATTCAGCCCACCAATGAACCACACGGGTTTTGGCGGCACAGTTGACACCGCTTGATACTAAGTCCCAGCTCCCAAACCAGATCAACGGAAGCAGCCAATCACAAGCTGGCAGGTGTCAACTTGTTGATGCAGCTGAAGCTGCCGGGCCAAGTCTACGACGAAGGCAACTTCTTTCCTCAGGAGGCGTGGAAAACGCCGGAGAGTGCCGATGCGGCATCGCCTCGAGGGTGTACATCCGGTGAAGGCCTTTGGTTGAAACGACCGTGTGGTGCCCTTTGTCCTTTTTCTGCGTAAGGGTTCTGATTCGCCAACCATTTTGAGCCGCCCAGCCAAGGGTTGGCAGCCAGGGGGTTGCCGTTTTTCCATGTTGGGCCGTGATTCAACCTTGAAGTTGGGTGTGGTGGTTCTACAGGTTCTCACCTCTCCAGTTTCCAATTTTTGCTTGGGAAGATCATGCTAGTTCCCCAAGTAGTGCACTTTTACCCTTTTTGGGGGAGGGTTCCCTACTAAAATAGACTACAGAAGAAAATGGTACCCTGATTCTAGCCTCTCTACTGGAGGACCTAGGATAGGCATTGACAGAGCTTTGGACTCCCCGCAGGAGTCCTCGGATGATGGCGACGTTGACCTGCCCGCCTGGGACGAAGAGCTTGCATCTCGTCAGAGACGATATGAGGGTTGGACAGGGTCATTGCTTGAAATTGGCTCACCTTGTTGGTTTTAAAGGGAATCTAATTTATCACTACTGGACATATTTCTCTTTTTTTCCAGGCGGCGATAAAGCAAACGGAAGTACCTGCTCACCCGAGTTTTGGCCAAATAATCACCCGGGCAAAGTCTAGCAACCTCACAGAGGTGTCGTTTGTGACCGCTCCCGTGATGTAGGTTCCTTTGGCAGGGAACCATTCTTTGGGCTTGGTTTTTCTACCGGGTTTCCTTTTAGTTGTTTGTGGCACCAGCATAAGGGGGGCCCAAATCTTCGGAGCTGCCCATATTATATGGTTGTTGTCATTCACCCCTTTTCCGTCTTTTGTCAAACCCTTGGGGGGGAGGGGGGAGGGAGGGCAAGCTTTTGGTCTTGGAACTTTTCATCGCCAGATCTACGGGCCCAAAGCTAGGTCCCCCAGTAGTGCCCTTCGCTCCCTTTTTTGGTTGGGAGGGTTCGGGACCCTACTAAGATAGGCTGCAGAAAAAAAAATCGTACGAACTTATTCTCCCCCAGTCTTTATAGCGCGTGCAAGGTTTAATCCCATTTGGACATCACCAAGGTTCCCCAACTAAAATAGACTGCAGGAAAAAGTTGGCACCAACTTATTCTAACCTCTCCACAGGACCTGGGAAGTGTTCCTTGCGGCCCTGGCGCGAAAATTTCGGGTTTGGGCCTCAGGAGAAGCGGCCCAAGCGCGCGCGGCGGCCTGGGATGCGGCGCTTCGGAGTCGGAGCTTTTGGAAGCTTTTGCGAGTTTGACCATGAACGCCACATGTGAAAGTTACAAACCCGCAGGTTCCAGTTCAGCGAGCGTTGCGAAAAGGAAAAAAGCAGACTGAGTCGCCCGTGGCCCGAAACATGTCTCGCCAAAGATCCGCCTCTTGGCAGTTTCGGCCAGGACGAAAAGCAGAGTCTTCCCTTTCACAACACGACCTGGCTGTGGCTCGAAAACATGTACCAAAATGACAGCTTGGTCAATGGGTTTCCAAGACAACCTGAAGCCTAGCTCCTTCATTTTGAGCCACCTTCTCGTAAATGGGGCCTGTGCACTTGTGTATTCATCGCGACAGTTTGTTGCTGACATCAAAGTGATTGGCGCCCGGGCCATGGGCCAGTTGCTGCTGTTTTTGGATCCAAATGGTTTGCGTGGTCTAGGTCTCCCAGTGCCCTTGGGGCAGGGCTCCCAAACGAAAATAGACTGCAGAAAAAAGTTGGCGCCAACTTATTCTAACCTCTCTACCGGAGGACCTAGTGGTGGTTTCTCTGTAGTCATTCCCACTAGGAAGCCATGTTTGCAAGCCGCGATTTGCCAGTTTTGGACCCCCAGGTTTTAAGATGGGCCGGTTTTTTCAGCCAGCTGCTTGGTAGTGGCAATTTTCTTCCAGCCTCCACAAAGCTGGGGCATCGCCGCTTGAACGCCAGCTGGTTAGTAGCGGAAATTTTCTTCAAGCCTCCACAAAACTTCCGCTTCGGCTTGCCCAGTGCAATCCCCCAGCTTCTCTCTTTGAGGCTCCGGCGCGGCTCCGGCGCGGCAGTCCGTGAACTCCAGCCCTCGGCTTTCAGCTTTTCTGAGGCCATAGCAGTGATGGACATGAAGGAGCGCATGCGGCAGATGTTCAAAGCCGGTCAGGCGCGGGGTGCAAAAGGTGCGCAAAAGGGGCGCGGTCAATGTGTGGGATGTGCCTTGCCAAGCAATGCTTGGCAAGCCCAGCCATCCGGTTCCCTCAGATCATCTCAGCTTTTTTAGTTGGTTTAGTGGTTGGGTTTCCAGTTTACATCATTTTACCCACTCAAAGCTTTCCTCTTTGAGAAGATCAGTTTGCACAGCTTGGCGATTGAACGCGACTTCTCGAGGCAGGAGGTTTCATGGCTCAGAAAGTGGGGGCGAGACAAATGGGTGGGAGTTTCTCGAAGGTACCCATGAGAAAGAACATGTGTTTTTTCCACCCCAAAAATGGGAAGCTCAAAAGAGAACATATATGACATAAGGTTCGTAAGGGGAAGCTAAAAAGAACACATTTTTTTTGGTCCCCTCCATCTTGACACGTGAATGAAGGGCTGGTAAGACCTTCTGGATCGAACCGGAACAGGGATTCTTGGACCTTGCTCACAGCGGGTGTTCCATGTTGGGAAGGGTAAGTTTGAGGCAGCTGATTTTTGTTTCTTGCCCTGTCTCCGCTTCACAGATCCGTCTGGTGCGTTGTTTTCTTTTCCTCGGGACAGAAGGCCAACCGGAACCAAGATGTTTTTGTTGGCCGCTTTTGTTTAGGTGTTCTGTTCCATGTACCTTCCCCATTTTGTCCAGGGATCCTTCTTTCCAGAGTACCTCCAGAAACCCAAAGAACCCGGCAGGTTTTTTAAAAGAACGATGATTGAAAAGAATGGTTGGAATCAACTGGAATCATTGAATAATCCATACAGAGACTGGTTTGCTAAGGCCGTCGGCGCCCTTTCCCCAATTTTTTTGGAAGAACAGCCAGTTCTTTCAAGAGCCGCAGCTTGGAATCAACCCCTGGAATGGAGATTGTGTTTCGCAGACTTTGCGACCAGGGATCTTTCAGGCCGTTGCGGGCGGACCGGCGGACCGGCGGACCCACGGGCCAGGTGAAGCCTACCGTCTACTACAAGGAAGGTGGGTGGTGCAGCGCCTTAGCATGCTATAGAGAAAAAAGAACAGCAATTTGGCCATGATCCACTTGTCTCAACCGAACAGTCAGTTACTTGGTGGCTCCCAGCCATCCGGTTCCTTAGCTTTTTAGCCTTTTAGTGTTTAGTGGTAGTTTCCATTTAACCCACTAAAAGTTAAACTTTTAGAAGGGGATCTGAGAGCAGCCCAGATTACACAGGTTAAACCATTGAGAGCCGTACTCAAAGCACCGGCTTGCCCTTCCCGCCGCGTGCGTGGGTCCGGGAGCGGCTTCAAAAGCACAAGAACGCCTGCTCACTGCGGCCATGTCACTTTTAAGTCGAGTTCATGCGGCAAAACACCGTTTTCCTTTTTTTTAATAAAGAAATCAATCATTACCTACGGTGGGTGGACAGAATCCTGCACCACCATCTCAGCATTGGGTTGCACGCCCTCGCGCTCCCTTTTTAATATTGGAAGCTGAAAACACGCTGAAGGAAAAGAAGTTGAATGGACGAAATCCTGCACCACCTTTACAGCCCATCAAAGCAACATTGCCCATGGGGAGCGGGGGGTCCTTCTACACCCTTGTTTAACTCGTTGATTCAAGTGGTGCAGGATTTCGTCCACCCACAGTAGGTCCCCCAGTAGTGCCCTTTTACCCTTCTTGCGGGGGGGGGGGGGTTCCCCTACTAAAATAGCCTTAAGAAAAACAGGAAGAGAAACAAACGGTGGAGGACCTAGTTACTGAGTGAAGAAGACACTTTGGCAAAACTCGAGACACTTCACTTAAGTACTCAGTTGTACACTTCGTCGCAAAGCTCGAGCTTTAACAGCAATTCCTAAACAAGGGATTCGTTGATTACCGCGAGCTCTTTAACAATTGCTGAAGTGGACCAGGGATGACAAGAAGCCTTTGCTGTCCTTCCAAGCCCATTTCCCGTCGGCTGGCTTCCTCAGGGGAAAACAAACAAAACTACCTCCTTTGACACGAGTAAAGCAATGGGTTGGGTCGGCATAATCCAAACTTAACATGTGAAAGGAGCCCTTGGAACCCTTGGCTCACTTTGCATGTTTCCGCCTTTGGCGGTTAGTTTGAGTTTCTTTCTAACCAGGGGGGGGGAACCACAACCATTCTAGAGTGATCCTCTTCACAAGTGGAGTCCATGCCCCACGAGTCCCCTTGACCGACTTCGAGGTTCGTGGATCGTGCACCGAAAAAGGGCGGTTTCCTTTTGGTTTGCTGGATCAGGTTTGTCTTAATTTGTCAAAGGGGTGTGAATTTTGGTGGACATCATTTAGATGCAAATTCATAGGAGGCCCTTAGCACAAACAGGTTTTCAGAGGCCTGTTTCCATGTTGGAAGAAGGGTATGACTTAACTCTCGTTCAGAAGTCCACGAACAGTTGCCCCGTGGGTTATCCAGTTCACCCTTAGGAACCGCAAGTTCTCGGCTTTCGCAGTGGAGCTGACCAGTCGAATACCGATCTTTTGTTCAGTGGGGCGCTTGGGAACTCAGCGAGATGCTCTTCCAAGAACGACCTCCAGCCAGAGGCTCCCAATTTTTGGGCCCTGATGATTTCAAGGGCCCCTGAGGCCTGCGTTGGAGGGTTCATGAGTAGGGTTGTTGGATTGAGGGCCGAGAACCGGAGGTGCCATCTACGCCAATAGGCTGAGCCGGACATGCTAAGTGCGTGTGACTGAACC